ACAACGGACCTGTTGTTGAAACGGGTTACACACGTTCCCCGACTGGATTACAACCTAGTATCGCTCACTTCCCTCTTCGACGACGGGTTCGAAACCAAAACCCTTAATAAGCACGAGTTGGAGTTGGAGAGAGGCGGGGGGGAGGTGGTGTACTTCCCCCGATGCGGTAACCTGTACGTCCAAAACGGTTTCCGCACACACACCGAACATGCCTGTGCCGCAATTGCTCCTGGCAACCGCGAAAGCGTCCAGCGCCCCCGTTGACATTGCGATTTCCACTGCGCGCACGGCCACTCCCACGAGGTGCTGCTGAGGACCACGGCGAGGCAGCAGCAGGGGACGACGCTGGTGGGCGAGCTCCGGGTGTGCCTGGGGTGCTCGACGGCGAAGGGGCTTTCCAAGCCCATCCCCAACAAGATGTCGACCCGAGCAGCAAAGAAACTGCAGCGAGTTTTCGTGGATTTGAGTGGAAAAGTTAGGGTGCAGAGCTTGGGGGGGAAGTGGTGCACTCCCATTGTCAAGGATGATTACACATGGTGGAACCGTGTCTGTTTCCTTTAAGCACAAATCAGACGCCGCTGAGGCATTCGAGAGGTACCTTGCAGAAAGCCGGGGAGACGGTGCCCCGTCCGATGTCACGGTCGTGAGATCTGACAACGGAGGAGAGTTCTTTGAGGGAGAGTTCGGCAGGGTGTGCCGGAAGTACTGCATCAAACAGGAGTTCACCCCCGCGCACAGCCCAGAATACAACGGTGTAGCTGAGAGAGCACTGGGTCTGATCAAGGATGCAGCACTAGCCGCCCGTATCCAAGCGCCAACTCTTTACCCCGGAGCACCGAACTACCCATCCCTTTGGGCCGAGGCCATAGCTTGGTCATGCAACGCCCTGAACTGCACCTCCACCACATCCAACCCAGAAAAGAAATTGCCGTACGAGATGTAGCACGGGCACCCTCCCCCGCCGGGGGCGACGTACCCGTTCCTCAAACCTACCGTATACAAGGTCAAGCGCACGCACATGTCCGAGCCGAAAGCCCAGAAGTGTTTTTACCTCGGCCCGGGAATCAACACCAACAATAGTTGCGTGCGCATCTTGAACGAAAAACGCCAAGCGATCACAACTCGCAAGTTCACCTGGCAATCCGTACCCGCTGCCCCCACCGCCCTGCCCCAGTCGCTACATCCCATCGCAGAGGAGGAACAAGAATTCGCGACTGGGGAGGACGAGGTTGGGGAGGCCGCGTCGAGCCATGGTGGAGGGAGGGCGGAGAGAGAACCTGTGGATGGAGGACGAAGTTTCAACCTTGGCACGACGGCAGCCCCGGCGGCCCCGGGGCCCGCGGGGCCGCCCGCGCCCCAGGTGTTGGGCGCGGGCGACGCTGGCGATGGCGCCCCCTCGAGCAGGGAAGGCGCGAGGGTCGCCCCATCTACCACGTCAGCCGGCATGGCCGATGTGGGCGGCGGCGAGGATGACCGCCGCAGCAGCAGCCGCCGTGCTAACGGCAGCAGCGGCAGCGGTAGCGGCAGCGGCAGCGACAGCGACAGCGAGACGGATCTCCCGGCGGCTCGCCCGCTTCGACAAGCCGGCGGAACTCACCAGCCGCCGCACCAGGGAGAACCCTCGCCGAAACCCGAGGTGCCCCCGTCGCCGGCAAGTGCCGAAGCCCTGTTCGCCTCGGCGGCGAGCCTTCCCGTCAGCAGCACGGAGGAGTTCACCAGCTGGATACTCTCGGCGGTACTTCACGTGGTCGGCGGAGGGCTTCCTGCTGGGTGCAGTTGACCTCATGCTCAACTCGCCAGACGCCTTCGAGACGGCTCTGGCGTCCCAGGAGCCAATTGAATCCCCCGAGTGATGTAGAACCGCCCCCCATGACTGTAGCCGGCGTTGTCAAGTTTGTGTACAGGGAGGGGTGTGAACAGGCCATGAGGCAAGAGTTTGAAGGGCACTTGGGCACGGGGACGTTTTCATTCGTAGACGGTGCGCCAGGGGGGGGCAGGCCTGTGAGCTCAAAGTGGTGTTTTAGTTGGAAGACCAACAAGGAAGGGAAGATAGAAAAGTTCAAAGCGCGTCTGGTTGCTAGGGGGTTAGGCAGATCCCGAACATCGATTTTTTGCATTCGACTTCCCCTTGCCCATCATCCGCATCCAATAAACAGATGCTTGCGGTAGCAAACGAGAAGGGCATGACCCTCATCACTGGGATGTGAAGCAGGCGTACACACACGCAACGCTAGAGGGGGAGGTTTTTCTGAGGCTCCCCGCTGGGTGCGGGGACAAATCGCATAAGATTGTCAAGGCTGAGCGTGCGATTCGCGGTCTGAAGCAGAGCGGTAGGCAGTGGGGGTACCACGCTGCTGATACGCTAGTCGAGAACGGGTTCGAGCAGTGCAAGGCGGACCCGTGTGTTTTCCGCAAGATGGTAGACGAAGTCGTGGTGATGATTATCGTTGTCTACTTGGATGACATCTTGGTGGCTGGGTCTGACGAGGATTGCAAGGGGTTGCTTGCTTCTCTCAACAAGAAATTTCCCACAAAAAATCTGGGAGAGTGCGAACGGTTTGACGGGTGCGCCATTGAGAGAGATGTAGAGTCTACGACTCTTAAAATCTCGCAAACCGCGTACATCGACAGCATGGTGAAACGCTTTGATGAACAATCGACCTCCCGCATCCCTGCTTCCCCTAGTGTCGACCTAGGACCGAAGCGAGATGAGAAGAAGGGAGGGAGTGGCCGGTGAGGGAGGCCATCGGCAGCATTACGTGGGTGTCAACATGCTCGCGTCCAGACGTCTCGTTCGCCGTGCGTGCGGTAGAGCGCCACGCCCACGCCCTAGCGAAGAGGCACTGGGATGCCATCCGGAAGGTCCTCAGCTACTTGAAGGAGACGAGGGACCTCGGCATCACCTACCAACGGCGATCGGGGTTAGGGATGGCCGTGTACGTAAACGCTAGCTACGTCGACACGGAGGATAATCGTTCGGTGTCAGGGTTGGCGACGACGGTTGGAGGTACCGTAGTCAGCCATGGAAGCAAGACACAGAGCATCGTGTCTTTGTCTTCGACGGAAGCCGAGTACATTGCTGGCGGGGAGGGTGTCAAGGAGGCGTTGTTTGTGCGTGCGGTACTGTCGTTTGTTGCCCCAGAGACCAGAGGTAGTAACATCCAGGTCCTTGAGGACAACCAGGGGGCCATAGCGTTGGTGCAGAACCCCCTCAGCTCAGGTCGCACGAATCACATCGATGTGAGGTTCCATTTCATCCGCGGATTGTTTAGTTCGGGGGATATTTCAGTCAAATTTGTTCCGACAACGGATGACTGTGCATGTCAAATGGTCAGCCATTGTCCAAAAAACGATACACTCTCGGCTCGTAGCCAATCCCAGTGGATCTGATGGGGTGTAGTGATCCTCGGGGATGGACCCCTCGCCACAAGGTGCTGCTATTAGCCGATAAGGTTGCCTTGAAAGCGATCCACTGGGATTCGAACCCTTGCGTGAATCCTTTATTCGCTAAGATGACCATTTGACTACACAGTCATCGGATCGGATCACTCTCATGGCACTTTTATCGGCTAATAGCAGCATCTTGTGGCGAGGGGTCCGTCCCCGGAGATCACAACACCCTATCAGATCCACTGGGATTGGTTACGAGCCGAGAGTGTATCTTTCAATCGATAAAGGCTGACCATTTGACTACATGCACAGTCATCGATGACTGTGCACGTAGTCAAATGGTCAGCCATTACCGATAATAGTCTGCAGTACCACCGGCGCAAGATAATGAATTTGCCAGAGTAGCTGTAGCAGTTTCTAGCTCTTGGGAGAGGTCATGTTTTCCATGCGGGGGAAGGCGCATAACTGTTGCGGTCTGTGTACCAATGGCAGGAGTAGGGGGCGTTGGGAGACCAACGTCCGGGGCGACGTAGTTCCTCGCGTTCTTGTCTTCGCCTTGGCCTTTCTAATAAGTACGTGCGGCCGGTGTGATCCGCGGTGATAACGACGGTTTTTGTTTTTAAAAAAAATGCTGTCTACAGGGGGGGGGCAAAACGGGCTCAAGTAAGTCCGTCTGTCGTCTGTCTGTCTGTCTGTCTGTCTGTGACCAGCCTCGATACGTTACCCAGCAGATTCCAGCTCATTTCACCATCTCGGCACCAAATTGCTATCTAAGACGTGTTCACAACAGGTAATATTTTGCCCGAGCTGCCCCAACTGCTACCTTTTCGATCCGTGCTCGGTGCGTCGAGGTAGTGCAGCGTCGGTACCCAACTTGACGCAGGGAAATTTTTGGCCCCTTGCAACACCGAGAGGAGGCGTCGTTTGATTTTGAACCAAGACAGATAGCCTCGCACACCACCCACCACCCACAGAGAGTCAGACATGGACAAACAGGGAGAGGGAGGCACAGACCACAGCGAGGGCGAGACGGCGGGAGAAGGGTGTGCCATGCACTGCTGCTGTTAGCTTTCGGCGGAGGAAGCGAGAGGAGAGATCAACATTTGGTTGCAGCAGCAGCAGCAGCAGCAGCGGCCTCTCTCACTCTCTTTCCGTGGAGAGGGGCACATGACACCAACAACATACAGATGCTGCAACGCACCACGTTGATGCGACATGTACTGCTTTACGCCTACTGTACACTTTTGTGCGCGAAGGCCTAGTGTACGATCAGTGCCTCCCGTGCTAGCCTGGTGATCAATCACACGCTTGAACGCTTTTTTTGAAAGTTTCTCGATCAAACCTCGAACCAACAAGCGAAGCACAACAGCAGAATCATTTTTTTTTTTTAGCTGCTAGCCCTATTTTTTACATACCACACCCCTCCCTCCCCCCCGGTGTTTGCGATCGGGGTTGGGTTTTCGTCGCTTGGCAACGAAGTTGTAAAACAAGCCCCCCCCTCGGTGTTTGCGAACAGGATTGGGTTTTCGTCGCTTGGCAACCACGTTGTAACAAGGCCAATTCACTTCGTGAACTCGATGAAGGCCACCCTGACTCTCGACCTATGGATGGGTTCGAGTCCGCGTGGAGGTGATTTCTTTTTCCAAGACATTTTTTTTTCGGAGTCCATCACATTGATTGGCGCCCCGCACACCTCAATCAATATTTTGTAATACTGCTGTGCAGTAAACGGGCCAACGGTAGCAACGCACGAGCCTACTGCAGGTACGTTTTTCAAGAATTAACTATTCCGCCTCCCGATCTAGTAGGGGTTTTGCCCAGACGCCGGGTTTCCCCTCCCTCCATACATTACCACCCAGATCGTATCCAAGGCAGAACTACTCTAACTGGGCCTACAAGAAGGGGGGATTCTCAGCACCGCATGACCCGGGATTCCTGCTGGACACGATTCAGAAATCAATTTGCGTGCTACAGAAGGACGGCTTGTATTGTGTTGCCCGACGACGTTCTCAGCTGTTCGGTGAATTTCTTGATGCTGCTCAGCAATGGTCATCGTCTCTCCGCACGTCGTGTACTCGTCTCCTTCTTGATTACAACAGGCGACCTTGCGTAGGCAGTGCTGGGCTTTGGCGCGCCGGGTCTTGGTGCCCTAGCGTTATTCAGATAAAGGCACGCCGCGGATCCACGCCGCGGATATGCTTGTTGTCTGGGTTTCCGCCTCACTGTGGAGCGCTGTGAACCGATCACAGAACAAAATTTTCAGAGAGAGGAAGAAGGGGAGAAGGGAGGACAATTAGGGGACATGGGGAATCACTTGCGCGGGGTCAGGACGGCCGTACGTACTGCTTCGTTTGAATATTGGTGGGCCCAAGCAATATTGCATTTTTTTCCCTCGTGAAGATCGGCACACGACATCATAATCATTTCGTTCCTTGTGCGGGGTAAAAATAACGACAAGTCTAGACTATATTTACAAGTATGGTCCACGCTGCCTACAAATGGGAGAGGTAGCCATACCTCCTACCTACACACAGACGAGAGAGGTGAACACACCCACTGCATTTAACACACACCCACATGTCGGTTATGAAACCTCATCAACCACACGCGTCTATCGGCGACCACGTCATCAGGAGGCAATGATGAGAAATGTTCTCCCGTGCCCTTCTCACATTTAACGACATGAAATTCCACAACATAACATATATGAGACACACAAGACAGCTACCAAACTGATCTTTTGAGCCTGTCACCCGAGAGTTGTCCCTATATGCTGTCTAGGAAATCGTAGACATACAGGTAGTTTTCTCTGACCCTATGATTCCATTGTTAATCTGTCTCTGACTCTTTTCTATGATAGAGATGGCACATCAGCCGCACATACTCCGCACATATGCATACCAAACTGAGAATATGTTTGTAAACTGATGGAGATTGCATGTGTTAGAACTAATAGGGTGCGACACACAAAACGCCCGACTACCCAACAGTACCTAACACCTTTCGTCTGCACCTTCCCAACATAACATATATGAGACACACAAGACAGCTACCAAACTGATTTGTTGAGCCTGTTACCCACAGGGGAGATGTCCCTATATGCTGTCTGGGAAATCGTAGACACACAGGTAGTTTTCTCTGACGCTATGATTTCATTGTTAATCTGTCTCTGACTCTTTTCTATGATAGAGATGGACTCGTTGTGTCATATTAAGAAAAAAAAAAAAAGATTACTGAACTCACGGAATCGATTCTTCTTGAACATACAGAATACAGTCGACCCCGCTTTAAAGACACACCTCGTTTTTTTTTTTTGGAGTGTCTTTAACGCGGGGAAGTGTCTTTAGGATTCCGGGGCCGTTAACTCACCGTCCCCGGGGTCAATGGAGGTGTAACATGTATGTGTCAAAATACGCGCATTTGAAGCAGGAATGCGACCACGAAATTGTGCTGCTTAAAAACTGCGACAACACGTCAATTGAAGGCCGCAACACTACTGCTGCTGTACTCCAATACTGTACACATTTTTGAATTTCCCCCCACCACCGAAACGCGGGAAGGAGTACAGCACGACCTATTGTAATGTGTACGGCAGTGTGCGCTGGTGTTGTTGTTGGCTTTTCTTATTGTCAAGGCGTTGTCCTCACGGTGAACATCGTGATATCGCGAACACACCTGAGACATATCAGTTTGTTGGAACTAGCTCTGATACGATACACGCAAGTTACCTGCCACATAGGGACCAAACAAACCCAGTCGACCCCTGAGAGGGATCTGNCCCAAAGGTCAACACGAGGCAAAAACACAAAACAAAAAATGTCAAAATTTAACTCCACGAGAAAGGCAAAAAAATCCCAAACAATGAATGTGGGCTGCCAAGTGTGTTGTCCTCTAACACCGAAAACTACGTCGCCCACACATCCCGAAGAGTCGCCTGCACCTCACCCCCCTCCTTCGTTCTTCGCTTGACTTGAGTTTCATGAGTGAACGAATGCA